TTGATAATCGATTATTGCATAAGTGATAATCGATTATTGCGTGCTTCAGAACTTTGAAGTTCCAAAGCTGCAGGGGCTGATAGTCGATTGTCACTAAGGTGATAATCGATTATCACCCAGCTAAAGTCTAGCCAGCTGAAACCCGTTTTGAAAAACCGAGGTCCAAAAACGAAGTGTTCCCAAAAGTAAAAACCAAGTTTGAAAAACATTGTATATGGTATAAAATAGTGAAAACAAGACTTGTTCGGTAAAAACCAAGTCTCCAAGGTCGTACATCACGTGCGTACGGTTTTGACCGTTTTTCACGTGTTAGACCGATTGACCAAGATACAAAAGTGGTTTTTATGAAATAATTATTTGGGAACATTTTAAATATGCTCAGAGATCAAAACAAGGTTTAAAAACATAGAAAACCACCGAGTTGGTTCGGGCGCCAAAAAACCGAACGTCGAGCACCGTACGCCGACTTAGGTGATATTGGTTCTGAGCAAGGACCAGGGATTTTAACAAAAAAAATTTATCAAAAATGTTTATTTTGATGCACAAAAATATTTTATGATTTTGTAAAATTATTTTGACTCTTTGAGAACCGAGACTTGAATTGATTGTCGGTTTTGATCACAAAAGACCGACTCGACTAAGTCTTCAATTCTTGATCTTGTCCTTGAGTCTTTTAGGTCTTGTTCCATGCCATTCTTCACGCCTTGAGTTATTCAACGAAACTCTTCATATCCACGGCGGTTTGGCAATTATCAAAACCTGTCAGAAATGAACACGACTTTGGTTAAATGTGCAAAGTGTGTTCCAACAATTTCCCCCTTTTTGATAATGGCAAACAGGACGGGGATATGCATAGGATTTTGATCTTTTTGAAAAAAAAAATCCCCCTTAAAAAAAATTCCCCCTTAATATATGCATAGCCCTTATCTTCCCCCTTTTGACATTAACAAAAAGATTTAATAACAAAAAAAACCATAAAGATTTTTATTAATTATTTAAGAGAAATAGAGGAGTACATAACGAAAGCATATTAAAAGATGATAAAATAATGAAGAGGAGAAAAATAGAGCTAGAGCTCTTAGAAATCCGGGGAAAGATCATTGAGAAGTTGTTCTTCGTCAATGTCTTCTTCTTCATCGTCTCCGTCTTCATCACTATCGCCATCATCATCATCATCATCATCGGCTTCTTCTTCCTCTTCTTCTTCTTCTGCTTCTTCTTCTTCAACGTCCACCGGGTCGTCCCTACCAACATTTTGAGTCCCGCTTGGTTCACCTCCGAAATTCGGTGGAGGAACGTAGGGGACCATTTGAGCGTAAGGGTAATTGACAAAGTCAAAATACCCGTGAAGCTCACGACTCAAAATATCGACATTGTGTGCCGTTTTGGATACGTTGGTGTCTATCCGAGAAAGGGTGGTGGTCAAAGCCGCCATTTGCTCGGCGAGAGAAGGATTGGTCGAAGCGGCGGCAGTCGAGGCAGTGGCTCTCGGTTGGCGGCGAGGACGAGGCTGCGGGAACGTAGCTTCATCGGTTCCCGGGTGGAAGGAAGACTCGTCAATCTCCCAATGCTTCGTTCCTTTGCATTTTGGCCCGACGTCCGTCTTGATGTGGAACTCATCAAGGATCGCCATGACAAGAAGAGCATAGGGGAGCGGCCGGTTGTCCGAGGTGGCGTTGAACATGTGGATCATCACAAATTTACACCAATTAATATTGGCGTTGTGAATCATCGCATGGATCGTCTTCGTGTCTTCTTGGGAGAGAGTGGTGTGGTTGAACTTCCTGGGCTTGAGGATCCGTGTCAACACATAGAAGATGCACTACAAGAAAAGAGCCTTTTAGCCGCACTTAATTCGCCGCGCATGATCAAGTGTAGTTATACAATTTAACACTTTATCATTCCCTGCACTTAAAAGAGAGGTAAAAGACAGTTTCACCTACCCACATAAAAAAAGTGTGGCAACTCTCATAATTAAAGTTAATTATAAAATTATAAAATAAACATACATCATTATTGATTTTTTCCGGTAACATAGAAATTGAAAGAGTGAAATATATTAGAGCCCGCTACTTTTTCAATTCAGCGCCCAAATTCATCCGCTAATCCTTTTTCAATCCAGCGCCTAAATTAATTAACCTAACTCTCAGCTCTAGCACACCTAATCGGATATCTTCATCACCTACGAATCGTACGACCTAATTCTCCCAATTGATCACCGGATTGAGTGAATTCAGATCGATTCCTTCATCACCTGCGACCAGATTGTTTCGTTCAACAGCAATCTTCAATCGTGCGTCTCCAATCGATCGTTCAGCTCTTGCAGCCAGATTGTTTCGTTCAACAGCGTCTTCAATTCTCAATCGTGCGGCCAGATTCAACCGTTCATATCAGCATCCTTCCTCTTCACAATTGTTCCGCCCCTTCTTCCATTCAGGTATTAAAGGGGAGCTCAACAAGTTTCTTCCCAAGAATTCTACCTATTTTTTTGTTTGTTGAGTTATTTGTTTTGAACTTTTTGGATGTCTCAATCGTGCGGTCAGATTCAACCGTTCATATCAGCATCCTTCCTCTTCACAATTGTTCCGCCCCTTCTTCCATTCAGGTATTAAAGGGGAGCTCAACAAGTTTCTTCCCAAGAATTCTACCTATTTTTTTTGTTAGTTGAGTTATTTGTTTTGAACTTTTTGGATGTGGAAGAAATGAGTTAATGTGATTTTGTCTACATATTTGTCTTTACTTGAGTTATTTGTTTTGATCTTTTTTTCTCCTGGTTTATATTTTGTCTACATATTTGTATACTTATTCAGCGTCTTCTTTCTGTAGAACTGTTGTTTAGGAAATAGGAATCTAGTTTTTCTTATATGTCTTGGTCTTTTCCTTCTTTCTGTAGAACTGTTGTCATCTATATCCTTTTCTTCATGAATGATAGTACTTCCTTTTGGATTCTAATCAAAATGGTGAATTTGTTATGCTTAGTGGGGGAAACGATAGGGACCAGTCTATAATCTCCATCCCAGTAAGTTCCAGATCTGCAGGGATTGATGTCTTCATTAAGGGTCCAAAGGAATCTTTAAAAAGTCATTTCAAAGTCCAGAAACTGAATCCAAATAGGGATATCTTGTAGATCATTGACATCAATTTAATGATAGTACTTCCTTTTGGATTAGTTCATCTCTATCCTTTTCTTCATGGAAATTAATTGACATTATTGGTTCAATTTTTGTTTGTTAGGTTTTACATCTTTTTGAGATGGACAAAACGTTGATTAATATGAACAGATTATCCAGTGAATACATAACCGGAGTCCAAGCATTTGTAGGCTTTGCTTTTGCCAATGCTTTTCCTACCAATGTTAATTGCTTTTTAATATATCAATCACCATTTTATTCCTAAATTTTACCAAATATATATATGATTTTACGAAGCTTATATTTGTTATTTATTATCAGAGTAATTTCACTACTATTGTGAACAAGTTAGGAGAAGGTGGATATAGTGCATGTACTCCCACACATGATAATGCATGTAATGAGCAGAGGGCTATTGAAAAACAGAAAATGCTTATACAAAGAAATAGAAATCCTGTGAGTTTAATTCTCTAAGTTATATCAATCTTTGCTCTTTAAATTATGAATCACATTCCGTACCCTAAATTGTATCACATGTGATATTGTAAAATATATTTGTGTTATTTGATGTCAGAGTATTTTTGATGGAACGACCAAGAAAGACGGTGAAGTCGGTGATTATGGTACTTGTACTCCAATGCCTCCTAATGCATCTACTCAGGAGAGAGCTACAGAATAACAGAAAATTTCAATGCAAAAAAACATACTTCATGTGAGTTGAATTTATCTATTAAAATTTGGATGTTGGTTAATTAGGTCCAGGTGGCTATTCTTGTTTCTAGTGTATCTTTCTATCGTGAATAGAATCTGTGTTGTCTTATATATGTCACTAAGCTAAGGCCAATGCATGTTGTCAAAGTGGTTTACTCTCAATGGCATGGAGAATGGTAGGCTTACTGTCAAAGTGATTTACTGTAAATGTTTTCAAAGTGGTTTACTGTCAAAGTGGGTTGCATGTTGTCAAACTTTTATATCATAAAAAGAATGATTGGGAGAATGATAACCATTCTTCGGGTCTGGGAATTTAGTCAGAACTGAGAGCCATTTCCCTTGATTGATGGAGTCTGCCTTTCTTCTTTCCGGCTTAGTTGTAGAACGTGGTGGTGGTGCTTAACCACCCACTCTGTCGAATATGTGGCATGGTATTACGGATATTTTACGATCCGTGTTTCAGTTCTATACAGTACATATGGTCAGTATCATAAGGCTAAGGGAGAGGAATCAGAATTAGTGATATCATTTCGAAAATCTATTGGGATATAAGAATTTCTTAGCCGAGATACTTGTGAGAGACTTTAGTAGAGTGCTCTCTTTTTTTATTGTTTTTTAAAATCAGTATCTATCAAGAAAGGTGCAGTGGACAGTGGCAGCTTCCTTCTACTGCCTTGGACTTTTACAAAGTGCTGTTGTTTGGAGATCCTGCGCAGAAGCAGCTGGTGTGAGCTTAGCTTTGTTACTCCATGATAGCTGGAGTTTTGGGGAAGCTTTGTGATTATGCTGCTGGAATGGAACCTGTCCATGGACAGCCTTCGGGCAGCGGTCTGCCCTATGATTTGGGCAGGTTTTCCTCAAGCTTTGCACCAGGTTTCGCTTTATGTCTGGAGGTAAAACGAGTGCTTTGGGGCTGGGTCTACCCCTTACCGTGGCTTTGGCACTCTGCTGCTTACGGGATCCGCCACTTCATGGTCCTTGCTTTTGTGAAGTTGCCTCAAATTACTTGTTTTACCTCCAGACATGAAGCGAAACTTGGTGCAATGATTGTTGTTTGAAGCTTAAAGTGAAAAAAGGGCAAGGATTGTTGTTTGAAGCTTAAAGTCATGGTGTCAACCTAGCTAGCTCTACGGATCTCTATGCACACATTAATTTGTTTCTTATCTTCATTTTAGATACATTTGGATATATTTATAAAATTCATGTCTTTATACACAAAATGTCTTTATTGTTAGATGTTACAGTAGTATGTACTCCCTCCGTCCCCCATATATCTTCCCAATAACCCTTTTTCTTTGTCCACAATAGATCTTCTCATTTCATTTTTTAACAAGTAAAATACCACAACTACCCCGACTTACTTTATATATTACACCTCACCCACCTCATTTAATACACTCCAGCCATTTTTCATTAAGGGTATTATGGTAAACTTTCACTTTTTTTCAACTCTCCTTAAAAATCACCAAAAGTCAAAATGAGAACATCTTAGGGGGACGGAGGGAGTATTTGAATTGCAATATAGTTACCATATTTGGATATTAATCAAAGGTTCGTTGCCTGGCCTATATATATTCAAAGAATGGTTATTATTATAATGGTTTTGGAGTACTATATATAATTAGTTGGAATTGATATAAAAGTTAGTTACTTGGTTGATCATTTGCCACACTTATTTGTGTGCATATAGTTTTTTTTATTTTTTAAAACTGATATTTGCAACACTTATATGTGTGGTGCCTTCCCAGCACATGTAAGTGTTGCGAAACAAATTATTACCCGCACATATTAAGTGTTGCTAAAATATTTATTAGCCACACTTATCTAAAAGTGTGGCTAAAAATTGCCCACAGTTAGGTAGCCGCACTTAGGTCATGTGTGGCAAAGTGTTTTTTCCACATTTATAAGTGTGGCGAACCACCATTTTAAGTGTGCCAAAATACCAAATTTCTTGTAGTGATGAAACGATACAAGGGACTCATGGAAGAAATCGTAGGACGCCGCTGTTGAGGAGTGGGGACGAAGTTTCGGATGCCCACTTCCTCCAAGAGGGCGGTCTCGTTGAACCGTGCTCCTTCTTCTCCGACGTAGAGCCCGAGATCCTGTCCATCCCGTCGAAGTCCGGTGAGGATTTGAATGTTCTCCTCATTCAAATAGATCTCCACCCCGTTGACGTTAGAAATCAACGCTCCATCCTCATCCTTTTTCAAGTTTGAATAGAAAGCTCGAACAAGAAAAGGGTGGTAGTCGTTCTTCTTGATGTAGAGGAGGTCGAGGAAGTGTCCTTCTTGGAGGATGACCCGTGCCTGGCGAGGGATGGCGCTGTGGATGAATCGGCCGGTGGAAAACCGGGGAGGAAGAATCTCCCGGTGCTCGAACTTCTCCGAGAACCGCGTCGCCTCTGCGCGGTCGTTGAACCAAAGGAACGACCCATCGAGATACTTGTGCGCCGGTGGTGGAGGAGCCGAGGAAGAAGCCACGTTCTTGCCGGTGCGGGATCTTTTTATTTGACCTCCTGCCATTTCAACAAAGTAGAGAGGGAGTATTTGCAGGATTTTTGGCTAAAAATTGAAGAACAATATCAAGAATTGAAGAAATATGATGAATATTTGAGAGAGGATGATTGGAATGAGTAAAGAATGAAGGGATATCACCAATTTATAGTTGAGAGGGCTGGAGATCCGTTGGGGAGTTCAAAAGGTGATTTAAATGCATTTTCAACGTCTCTGTAACGGTCAGATTTTTGAAAAATCACCGTTGATAATCGATTTACACTCCCTGTAAATCGATTATCTGAGTCTTCAGATTCTCCGCCAAAGAAACTGCACGCTTCAATAGTCAATTTACAAGTTTTAGTAAATCGATTGTTGGAGTTTTCGCCTGAGTTGCCTTAAACTTCTGCAGGCTCAAAGATAATTGATTGTCGTTTCCTTTAGCTTCTTGGTTCCAAACTTCTACGGGCTGTGATAGTCGATTATCACAAGCTTGTAAATCGATTTACACCAGGTCTGAAACAAAAATCAATTTACTTTGTTCCCCCTGCCTTTGACACCTGAAAAATAAAATTTAAAAGAAGAGCCCTGCAAAAAAGAATTAAAAACGTCTCCAACGTTCAAGTTAGTAAGAACAAAAAAAAATAACTAATGCACAACTTAGATCATCGTGGAGTCAAGGATTCCGAGTTCACTACGAATGCGGAAGAACGACTCTTTCTCTAAAGGTTTTGTGAAAATGTCGGCTAATTGGTTGTGTGTTTCAACGAACTCAATTTCGACATCACCTTTGAGAACATGATCTCTAATGAAATTATGCCTAATGTCAATATGTTTCGTCCTTGAGTGAAGAACCGGATTCTTCGTCAAACTTATGGCACTAGTATTATCACATCGAAGAGGGACATGATCGATACTAAGGCCATAATCCACAAGTTGTTGCTTCATCCAAAGGATTTGAGCACAACAACTACCGGCGGCAACGTATTCCGCTTCGGTTGTGGATAACGCAACACTGACTTGCTTCTTACTAAACCATGAGACTAAAGAACTACCAAGCAAGTGACAAGTCCCACTCGTACTCTTACGGTCTAATCTACAACCGGCAAAGTCCGAGTCGGAATAGCCAAAAAGATGACAAGGAGACCCTTTGGGGTACCATAGTCCAACGTTCATTGTACCAACAAGATATTTCATTATCCGTTTTACTGCCGTTAAATGCGATTCTTTCGGACAAGATTGATACCTTGCACATAAACAAACGCTAAACATGATATCGGGTCTACTAGCGGTAAGATAAAGAAGGGATCTGATCATACCTCGATACTTCTTTACGTCTACTTCCTTACCCTTTTCATCTTTGTCCAAGTGCTCGGAGGTGCTCATTGGGGTAGCCATTGCTTTGAAGCCATCCATTTCAAATCTCTTTAGGAGCTCCTTGCAATACTTTGATTGACAAATGAAGGTTCCTTCCCTCATTTGTTTGACTTGTAAGCCCAAAAAGAAATTGAGTTCCCCCATCATGGACATCTCAAATTCATTTGTCATTAGGTTTGAAAATTCCTTGCACAAAGATTCGTTAGTAGCACCGAATATAATGTCATCTACGTAAACTTGCACCAAGAGGATGTTATCGTTTTTACTCTTGATAAAAAGTGTAGTGTCAACCTTCCCCCTTTTGAACCCGTTGTCCAAAAGAAATTTGCTCAAACGTTCATACCAAGCACGAGGAGCTTGTTTAAGACCGTAGAGTGCTTTCTTTAGTTTATAGACAAACTCCGGGTGCTCAAAATCCTCAAAGCCCGGGGGTTGATCAACATACACTTCCTCTTGAATAAAACCATTGAGGAAGGCACTCTTAACACCCATTTGGTATAGTTTAAAATCCATAGATGAAGCAAAAGCGAGTAATAAACGAATAGCTTCTAAACGTGCTTCTGGTGCATAAGTTTCTTCAAAATCAATGCCTTCTTCTTGATTGTAGCCTTTAGCTACGAGCCTAGCTTTGTTTCTAGTGATTATTCCATTTTCATCAAGTTTGTTACGGAACACCCATTTCGTACCAATTATGGTATGATCATCGAGTCTTGGCACCAATTCCCAAACGTCATTTCGTTTGAATTGGTTAAGCTCCTCTTGCATTGCCAAGGTCTAATGTTCATCATCAATTGCTTCTGAAATGGTTGTAGGTTCAATTTGAGAAACAAAGGCCATGTGACCTACGATGTCCCTAAGAGAGCTACGAGTACTTACCTTTCGGTTGATGTCATCGATTACCTTGTCAAGAGGATGGTTCTTTGAAGTCCTCCATGCCCTTGGCATTGGCGTTTCCTCCTCTTGTGGTTGTTCCTCGTTTACGGGTGGCTCTACTTCCACATCTTGGCTTTCCTTTGAGTTTTCTCCTTCGTCATTGTCGTTGAGATAGATGTTCTCCAATGAATCTACAAGATCATCACAAGAAACCTTTCTCGCCAAGCGAGCATCATTTTCGGCAAAGACAACATGAGGAGATTCCTCAACGGTTAAGGTGCGTTTGTTGAAGACTCTATAAGCCTTACTACGCAATGAATAACCAAGAAAAATTCCTTCATCCGACTTTGCATCGAA